TTGGTATTAAACAGCTTGCTTTGTTCGAGTAATCCTTCAAGAGGCGGCACTTGTGTAGAGGGAAATAAATAAATCTTGTATTTTCAAGCTTTGGTGAAAACTCATTAAAAGGAATATTGGCGGTTATTTGTAGGATAAAGACCTTTTAGATGTATTCACCTTATTTCGTCTAGGGTGATGAAGGACAGGTAGTTGAATTTTCCCACAATCATGTAAATAGGCCTCAGGCTTCCATTTAATTTCACATAGCCTTGCTTCTCAAAGTGTTGTCTCATTTTTCAACTCAGGACAGATTCTTTGGGTAATCTAAATCATTCCATACAAAATACGAGACCAAAGGGATGTACAAAAATAAGACACAAGTATGCAAATGTAGCATCCTTGATAATTCACATAAAATTTGAGACGAGATTCTAGGCCAAGATTACTCTAACGCATATTTTACTGAGAATTAGCACACCTTTTTACTGTGAATGTAATTTGGTACTAAAGGACTTGGCAAAGAAAATGGGAATGTATGTACTTGTGTCTATATGTGAGTGCTTATGCATTTGTTGGGGTAGAAAAAAGGCTGAGGTCAAATAGCTTCAATGGAGAAAAAAAGGAACAAAGTGTTGACCCATCACAGGAACTTCTAGGTATGAGTGGCTCCGCCTAAATGGAGCTAATGTACAAAATACAGATAAATAAATATTTACTTATTAATAGGATTTATCCATCCTTTTGTCGATTCTAGGGCATTACTTGCCGTTTAAATTTAATGAATAATTAATATTTCTTGGAATTATAACAGATAGAATAAATCTGCTTAATTAGCAAGAGCCTGAAAAAGCATGGCGCCATCTAAAATGGCAGGTGACGGGTTGAAAAGACCCCCAAAGAAGAAGCCCTTAGCATTAGAAACCAATTGAGCTCCAGAGGTAAAGCATTGAGGCCAAGAACTACATAAAATCATAGAAAAAAGGATAAAGGCCCCTGCACGCTCTCAAATAAATGCAATTTAGAAGCACATTCTGCCCACTGTAAAAGGCGAGGTGGCATATTTCAAGAAATACGTCAAAAGACTTATAAACCTTAGGAAAATTTGCTATGACCTCTAAACCGAGAACAGTTGGTCTGATATATAATGGCCTTTCAAAGTCAAAAGTCAGACTG